ACTGGTTTTCAAGCGGGGCACCCCTTAGAACTGTGTGTCCGGGGTGGGGGTCGGGACCCTTTAAGCGCAGCCCTCGGCTAGCCTGAGACAGCATCTCCATGCTCTAAGTCCTCCTCTTATGCCCTGCCGGCACTGCTTCCGGCCATCCTTAAGCCCTGTTCAGGGTCCACTCAATGTGGACTTGCTAGTTCGAATTAGCAAAATGCTAATTAGAACTAGTTTTTAGTTCTAGACGCGTTAGTTCGAATTAGCTTAGTTCGAATTAACTAATTCGAACTAAGTTAGTTCGAACTAGCGCTGTAGTGTAGATGTACCCTCAGTGCAGTGCCCCTACCCACTAGACCATGCTGCCTCTGTGGTATTAAGACAGAGCCCAACTGGGCCCCCTGGAAACATACTGCTGGAAAATGAGCAGCATCTATATCAGGGTGGACAATAATTTTCACAGGGGGGCACTTAATGACTTTTGGTACATGGTCCCAGGCCTGCTCCACCCCCAGGAAGGGTGGGGCTTGGGGCAGAAGGGGCAGGGCTGGTGACTAGCTTTCCCCCACCCCTTGCCCCAGTTATCTAGGGCTAGAGGCAAACACAGCAAAGGGCTCACGGCTCTGCCGCTACTGCATTGCCTGGTAGCTGCCTGAGGTGGCTGCGGCTATTTAAAGGGCTCACAGCTCCAGCCCTTGCCAGGGTAGCACCATGACTGGGAGCCATAAGCCATTTAAATAGGATCCTGCTGCCTGAGTCACCACCCGGAAATTCAGTGGCACAGGTAGCAGGATGTAAATAGAAGTGGCTAGATGCAGAGCACGGGCCGGATCAAAGTGTTAGGTGGGCCGGATCCGCCCCCCGGGCCATGTCTTGCCCGGCCCTGGTCTATATGGAATCCTCAGCAGAGGGAAGGTCAGCCCAGCTTTTAGCAGTAGATAGAAGCAAGCAAGAGACATTCTCCAAGGAGTAGTCCTGGGCTAGCCCCCAGATGGGATGAGTTAGAGGCCTCTGAGAGGTACCTTCCAGCTCCAAATTTCCAGGCTACATTGGAAACCCCAATCTGGAAATCCCCTTGAAGCCTGGAATCTGTCCAAGGCCAGTTTCCACTTGGGATTCCAGGGCCCCCTGGTAACTCTCCATTAAAACTCTGTCCCAAGCACTGGGGAAAATCCGATAGCCATTGCTTCAGCCGAGTAGCCATGTGGGGCATACAGGAGACCCCGGGGGTCCAAGGCAGAAGGACTCTTCTCCCCAGCAAAACTCCTGCAGAACACAGCTCTCCCTTCTGCAAACAATGGCTACAGGAGTCTGCAATGGAGTCACCAGCTTCAGCACAAAAGCCTCCCACCCCTGGTGCAGGAGCAGGTACAGAGACTTCCCAGGGCAAAGTTCTGTGGCCAGAGATCCTGGCCTCCCCCACATGCACATGCCTCTATTCCATTATACATGGCCCTGCCAGCGCACAGAGGGAGACAGAGCTGGACCCATTTTTTTGGCCTGATTTTTCCCTGGCAATTTGCCTCCTTTGCAGACAAACTGTCAAAGGCTCAGGTACTGGGACAGCCAAATGTCCCCAAGTCCTAACCCAGCAGGGAGGAGCGGTTTATTTTTAGGGTGCTTCCACTTCATACCTGCCACGCTGGGGCACATCAGTCCCCTGAAACCACCCGCCGGCTTCCACCCCACTCGGCATAACTGGCAGTCTGAGCTCCTCCCTGGCAGATCTAGGTCTACAAGACCCTGGGCAGCCCTGACACAAGACACCTTTCGTTCAAGTTCCATTCCTTCATTGCATCCCTGGTCTGCAGCCAGACGTTCAACTTGGCTCTTCCTCCAGCCACCCCACCCCACCATGCAGCAGCAGCCTGTGCTACACGCACTCAGGAACGCATCGCCTGGTGCATATGGACGTGGAAAAGACAACAAGCTGGATTTGGAGCAGAGGGACTGTGAACACCTGACGCTGTTTGTATTAGACCCAAAAATGTGTAGGTGGGCTAAAAGCAACCCTCGGCTGGGTATCCAGAAACCCTTGAAAGGGTATCCAGCAAGCATCCTGCACCTGTAATAGCTAGCAGCCTAGGATGTGAGATGCCAAGCAAGCGGTAGCCAATGGTTGCCCCGCAGTCCGCACTAGGGATGTAACAGTGTAGTCAATTAACCGATAAGCAAAAGCATATAGGTTAATGCTAGAGACCATACACATTTCCCCCCTTCCCCGCCCCCAATACATTTTTTAGCAGGCTGGTCAGCAGCCACGCTCAGTTCTTGCTCACACCAGGTCCAGAACCTACCCTTGCTGTGGCTCTGCATTTAAAGTGTATTAGGAGCCAAGCGGGGAGGCAGCCCGGCTCACACCAGGTGCAGGAGCTCAGACCCTCCCTTAGACAGGAGCTGCTGCCACCCCACGCTGCTGCCTCTTTATCAGAGGCAGCAGCACTGAGTGACAGGCAGCCGGTCCACAGGAGGAGCTGGTTTTTAAACAGGCTCCTCTCATGGATCAGATCCCCCCTGGTACCCCACTCTGCTGCCTCCGATTCAGTGGCTGCTGGCCCCGCCCCTGGGGACTATAGAATAGTCAACTAACCAAAAAAAATTAATGAGGTTACTCAACTATTCAATTAACCGATATTTAACATCCCTAGTCAGCACACATTGCTTGCCAGTTGATGCGCTTTTCTTCCACGGTAAACAAAGGACTGTAGAGGAGACAAACCCAATGGCATAGCCAGCCAGCAGTCCTGTTCAAAGTGTTCAAAGTCCCTCTCCTCCAGATCCAGCTTTCTGTCTTCTCCACATCCATGATACACCCGTTTATTCCATGTGCAGAATAAATTTTGTTTTTGTGCGCCACGAAGAGAAGGGAAAAAAATTAGCAGAAACACTGGAATGCTTCTGGGACTTCTGGGTCCCCTACACTGGGGGGACCAGCAGAACAAGGTTGGGACACAGCAGAGGGAACAGTGAAGGGCTCTGATCTCCAGCCCACTGGAGGCAGGAGCTGTGAAGAGCCCATGGTAGGCAGTCTGGATGAAAGAGTCCATCAAGCAGCATTCCACTTCCATACACAAAAGAGAGCAGGGAGGTCCAGGGATCCACACACCCAAGCAGGAGCCCCGATTTCCAGCAGAAGAATCTGAGATACCTTGGCTGTTTCCCGGGGGGTTGCTGCTAAGAGCAGAAGGCTGTGGTGTTACAGATGCCACAGGACAGACTCTGTTTGCATGGTTATACCTGCTGGGGGAGGGTTTATCGGAACAGGATGAACAGCAAAACAACTGACGGCTGGACTTTTAAAGCAACCACTGACTAGTGTGGCGTGGTGACAAGGGCTGAGGGTTACAGAACTAGGAGGATGACTGCACCAGCACGTGTCTCATTCATTCCTGAGCACTGATTGTGAAACACGCCACGTCATTTAAACCGCCTTGTTCTGTTATTTGAGCCCTGAGACTGTGGAGCCTCGCTTATGCCTCTGTCAACTGACAAGGAAGCTGTTGCAGACCAGAACCACAGGGGGTGTAAATCAGAGCCCTGCTGACTTCAGAGCCATGCTGACTTCAGGCAGTTGAGGATTTGGGTGGTATATGCCCTGGTCACCCCCCAGTCACCATGTGTACAGCTAGAGTCAACAGACCACATGCAATAGGAAAGTTGGATGGGTAGGAAGGAAGGGTGGTAACAGTATCCACCAGAGTGAAGCAATTGTTGAATCTGGTTCCATGCTGGCGGTTACAGGGGCTATACAGCCAGAGACAGGCTGTGCCATCTCCAAAGGGCCCCTGTAACCCACACACCACCCGGGTGTTGTGTACTGTCCCATGTCTTGGCACCAAGATCACTTAGAGAGAATAATGAGCCTGCTCTCTCACCTTAGCTAATGGCCAGCTGGCTTTTAGCTCATGCGGTAGAGGCTCATGCACTAAGCTCCAGTGGTCCCAGGTTCAATTCTACCTGCAGACGAAGAAAGGTATGTTGCATTTCTGGCCTGTCCCTCATGACCACATCCCAGTGACCAAGATGTTTTCTGAAGTTCAGTGGCTGAGCCCCACCTCAATGTGCGTGGTCCCAACCCAGAGCAGAGAAGCCAACACAGAGAGTTGTGGTTAACAAGTGCACAGAGGCTCTGATGTGGTTTAAATCCAGAACACGAAACCAAAGAAATCTTTCTATGAAGTCAGAGAGCTTGAATGAACAGCCCTGGGTTCCCCCTTTCAGCTAGAACCCGGCTCCTCACAAGAACCGTTGCCTGACAGCATCCGACCCAGATTTAAGTCCCAAATTCCCACTTTTAAGTTTGTGAGGCCTTAGGAGCTGCCTCCAGCAAACCTACGGCCAAGCCCAGTTTGCTGCTCAGTGTATCCTCCTAGTCTCTTCCTGTTGCACAAAGACCAAAGTATTGCAGCCCTCAGGAAGCCCTAGTTTTGCTTGCTGGGTTCGGTGTGCGGGTGGTAATGGCTATGATATATGGGGAGTCTGGCTGAATGACAGGGTGGTGCCTTCTGAGCCAGAGATGGAAGGGGGAGAGCCAGAGAGATTACCAAGACCAATAAGGAGGAGAAACCAAGTTGAAACAGTGAGCCAAAGGATTCCAGGATTTTCTGTCCAGGGTCAATTTAACTCAATTTTAGTAGCAAATATTTGAAGTGAATCATCCCTCCACAGCCCTTGGTTATCCACACAAGACACTGCCGGGAACACAGAGAAATAAACTTCATTGCAACTAAGGTTCTAGCCTTCACCTGTTTCCAAGGAGTGAGACATGAAAGCCTCTCTGCTTTGTAAGAGTTGAAGACAGGCTTACGAAAATCCAGTCAGGGACCTTCTGACTCTGGAGCGCCTGACTCTTGCCTTCAGCTCCAACTCTGCCCTCAAACTGTGATGAACAAAAGACATTTCAGCATTAGGCACCTCTGGACCAACCCTTCTAACAAATGAAGTCATGATCTTAACAGGGGTAGCACCAAAACAGAGTGGGGACATCTCACCTCCAACCTAGCTAGCAGCCCAGTCCAGCGACGCACACACCGCATTTTATGTATGAGTATTCTCATTGAAGTCAATGGGACCAGTCACATGCCAAAAGCAAATCACGTGCTTACGTGTCTTGCTGGTCCCGCCCGTTGTGTGGCAGGGGTGGGGGAGAGAGAATCGGCACAGCTCCACAGTACTATCTAGAGGAGGTCAGGAGAAACCAATGGATTAAGACTCCACATCGGGGGGCAGGCAAGATACCGCCTGCAGGCTGGATCTGGCCCATCAAGCCACCCGATCCAGCTCACGGGGCACCCCGCCAGGACCCTCAGGCATAGCGCAGCCAGCCGCTTCAGAGCAGCCCCACTTTAAGTGGCTGGCTACTCCCTGTGGCTCTCTACTCTGGGAGTGGGAGGCTTTGCATACTGCCCTTGCCTCCTAACAAAATCTCTCAGCTCCCATTGGCCAGTTTCCAGCCAATAGGCACTGAGAGATTTTGCTGCGGGGGTGGGACAGCACAAAAAGCCTCCCTCTCCCCTTGCTGCCCAGAGCAGAGAGCCACAAGGGGCAGCCACTTTGAGCAGCCTGAGACTGTGGCAGGCAGGGAGCCAGTTTCAAGTAAGCACCTTCAGGTCAGAGCCTGCCTCTGGCACCCCAGCCCCTTCCCACCTCCCCAACTCCCTGCCCCCAGCCACCACTCCCTCCTGCCCAGGTCATAACCCAAACCCTCCGCACCCACCTCCTCCAGGTCACAACTCCCTCCCAGACCCTGCACCACCTCCTACACCCCTCCCCCCGGCCAAAATCCTCTCCTGAACCCAACCCCCCTCCAAAACCCTGCCCCCCAGGTCCCTGCCCCAGATCACAACCACCTCCTTCACCCAAGCTCCTTCCCAGACCCCACACCCTCTCCTGCACCCCAGTGCCCTACCCTAGGCTCCCTTCTGTACCCAGCCTCCATCCCAGGCCCAGCACCCCCATCCATAGACAAAAGCAGCCCTTGACCACTTACCAAAATCTTAGAGTGGCCCTTCCATCAAAAATTATTGCCCAGCCTTCTCCACGTGGTCCATGGTCAGATCTAGATGGTCACCGGAGCTGTGACCACAGTTTGGCCCTCCTGCATGTCCAAGGATGAAGCAGCAAAGCCTGAAGTCAAAGACCAGCCTATGTAACCTGGCACGAGGTACAGTGGCCATGAGGGATGTCCTTCCCTCCCATGGTCTACCCCTCATGCTCCAGCAGTTTGTGTTTCCAGGGTGCAAAGGTGCACACAAAAGTGGCCAAGAGAGCCACTGCCGATCCTTTCCATGGCAACATTGCAGGAACCAGCATCCTCGGATGTGCCAGACCCTCTGCGGTTTCCCAGCACCCTACCCTACCCAGGCACAAGGGAACTGCCTGGATCACACTGCAGGCAGGCTGGGGTGGCCCTCAACTGCTGTGCAGGGTAAGGCCTGGGAGTCAGGCTCATGGGACTGTGCTGTGCAGGGTAAGGCCTGGGAGTCAGGACTGGCCAGTCTGCACCAATGAGGCTCATGGGACTAGGTTTTAATACAAGCTAAGCCCTGTAGTGGCAACAGCTGTCAAAGCACCCTACATTTCCCAGAGCACTGGCTTTCCATGGCTAGTTCTTGCTGGGGAATCCCCTTTGCCATGGCCAGGATCTTTATTCTATGCAGCCAGACCCTACCCAGTGTCAGGCAACGTAGGGGAGGGTGACCAGAGAGCAAGTGTGAACAATTGGGACGGGGTGGGGTTGCTTTTGTATCAGTAGAGCCCAATGTGGATACAAAATATGTATCTGTATCTGCAAATCTGCAGATGTCCGCAGATATCTGCACTCTCAGCGGCGAACGTGGATATGTGTGGACATCTGCAGATTTGCAGGGCTCTAGATACACAATTTGCATCCACATCTGCAAAATGAGCCGCAGATATCTGCATTCATTCACACTGGCAAATGTGGATTCCCCACAGATCTAAAGCAGATGTACGCGGACTTGCAGGGCCTGTCTATATAAGAAAACACTTGAATACAGGGACTGTCCCTATAAATTGGGACACCTGGTCATCCTGACAACAGTGGAAGAATGTTAGTCAGCTGATCTTCCAGCTCAGGTCTGATGCTTCCATGGCCACATCAGCAGAGAAGCTGGCCCATCACTCATAGCCTGTATGCCAGTGACATGAGGCTGTAAGTAATCAACCGGGGCGGGGGAATGGGGGAACCCAATGATATCTAAATCCAGGCAGCTCCCCAAAACAGAAGGAACTCAACAGTTGCCCAGGAAAAGGCTAAAGCCAAGTGTGGCTGGATCATGGCTGTGTCAGAGAGAAGGGAGACCACCCACCTCCCCCAATTCATCTTTGCTCAGAACAGGAAGTTAATTTTCCAGGTTTGTCCCCATGTGGACAAAATATGGCAGGTTGGCTGGGCAAACCTAGCTTAGACCATCCTAAGCAGAGGTCTCGTTCCCTGCCTGGCCATCAGTCATGCTTTAGGAGATGCTGGGGAGGTGATGTTCAGGGCTCAGCCTGACTTTCCCTCTCCTCTGTCTGCCTAGAACTAGGCCAACTGCAGATAGAACGCCAGACGGGAAGCCCACCAAGCAGCTAGCCATGCTGCCTTTGGAAGTGTTCAAGTCCCGAGCTCAGCTCCACGCAGCCTCTATGATGGGTCCAGGCCGTCAACAGGGGAGGCAAAGGGGCCAGAGGTTCCCAGCAACTGCTTCTACCGCCTTTAAATCACCACCAGAGTGACACTAGAGTGCCATGCAGCTATAAGGGCTAGGGGGGCAGTGTGGTGCGCTCTGGGTGGCACTGAAGGCTGTCGGCCCCTGGTCCTACCCCTTCCACCCCATGCCCCATCCCTTTCAGGAGCGCAGAGCCAGTCTCCCCCTCCCACCTTGTCCAGGGGCCCACCAGGCTATCGGCTCCCCTAGATAGATCACAATTTGCACTCCAGATCTCGATTTGAATCATCAGGGACAGGCCCAAGTTGTGATCCCAAATTAATCAGTCCCCAGTCTTCCAGAAAGTTCAGATTCAGAACAAAATACGATGGCTCAGGACATGGCGAGGCAACAAAACTGACCTAAGTGACGACAGCACACAGCCGTTGTAAGAGTCACATTGCCTTTGTGTGTGCACACTATGCTCCTCCTGTCAATGGCGTGAACCGTCTCCAGGAGCACTTGTACCAACTGTACTGTCAGTGCAGGGCATTGTAGGACAGCTCTGAAAGACAATAAAGGGTCGATGTACGCAATGCAGCATCTACTCTGACAGGGCTTTGACCTAACTACATTGGCACTGCTTCTCCGCCTCTCCTGGATGTGGAATTAGTGCATCAGCATAGCACAGCAGTTATGTCAGCGGAAGTAAAGTTTTAGTGCAGTCATTTTGAGTTAGGTCGATATAACTCTGTGTCTAGCATTGGTCAGGCCTTAGTTACAGTCAGTAGTTACATGGGACCATAAGGATGACTACACATTAGGCCCTGGACTTGGCTGGAGAAACTTTACTGCACTGAGAATAGTCCAAGTGCCAAACGTCACCTGTAAAATAACCCATGAACACTCGGAAATGTCAGAATTCCCAGTCTGGATCGTATGGGGTCCGTATAATCCAGCATCTGCTTCTGGCTCATTCCAAGCCAATGCCCACTCCATCAGAGAACTCAACCTTGAAGTAGGCCGGGACAAGAATGACGTGCCCCCGAGAAAGGTTTCAGAAGGAATGCTACTTCCTCAAAGTGCCACTGACCATGCTGAGGTGGGGACATGGGCAGAGTCTAGTCAGCAGCCAAGCGGGGTGGGTGGGAAACAAGCCATGAAACACGTGTAGTTTGGAAGAAGACACCACAAGGTTCCATTCACACGTCCTCCTACCTCTTCTGCTAGAAGTTGTCAGAGCACAGACAATTTTAGCAACAGCAGCTGCTCTTCTGGAGCTCAGTTGGAGAAGACCTGAGAAACCCTGCTGCCTGAGAGAGCATTTCAAGGGAGGGGAAAGGGCCACAAGACAACAGGATGGGGTTTAGTTCTTTGGAATCTGTTCCCACCCCGACTCTGTGAGGAGTCTATTCTCCCCGAGGAAAATGGGAGGGATTTTCCCCCAGAAGCTAGAGATTAAACAGTTCTGTGCCTATCAATTAAGCCTTCAGGAGGGATGCAAGGGGCAGCTGGATGTGCTAGGACTGAAGAACAGTCTGCCCCCAGTGCTAGTAAGAATCATTTCGGGTAGCTGGAGCTAACAGCCCCATTAGGGCATATTCAGGGGCAGTAAATCTACAAGCAATGGAGAAATGTCATTAACTGCAATATAGCAAGATTTCCACCAGACAGAAAGAGCGTTAGAAGAACTGAGGCTACATCTAGACTGCAGATTTCTTTCAGAAGAAGCTTTCCCAGAAGAGATCTTCCAAAAAACCTTCTTCTGAAAGACAGCGTTCATACTGCCAAAGCGAATCGAAAAAGCAATCTGCTTTTTCAAAAGCTAGCGTCCACACTGAATGTCAGAAAAACCCCGCTGTTTTTTTGATTTTTTTCCAAAGAACGCAACTGCAGTGTGGACGTAAGTGAAGTTTTTTTTAGAAAAATGGCTGTTTTTCCGAGAAAAAAAAACTCTGTAGTGTAGACACAGCCAAAGAGAAGACAGAGAAAAAAAAACTCTGTAGTGTAGACACAGCTAGAGAGAAGACGACTGCAGCATAATATGTAAGAGGTCTAAGCACTATATAAAAACCATGAGGATGTGCAGCGCCACAGATTGATTTGGTTATCTAGCCAGTCCCCACACCCAAAGCTATCCTAAACTGTACCATTTTCCAGGGCTTTATCTAGTCTAGCTGTACCTCTGTAGGGGTAAGGATTCCATCACTTCCTTTGGAGACTATCCACAGCCTTAACGCCCTCAATAGGAGAAAGTGCCCCCCATCTAAATTATGGTTCCTTTTATTTTTCTGTGGCATGATCACTCCTTGTCGCACTGGTGTGCATCATTCTAAATATTCCTCCCTCGGGGGCATTAACACCCTATCTGTAGGCGAACATCTCCTCATTGTTGCTGGTATCCAACCCATGCCCATCTTTCATCATGCAAAACAGTTCTAGTTTTGTTAATCTTCCCTCACAAGACAGTCCCTCAAGCCAGTTATTTGCATGTCTCTTCTTTGAACTCTGCCCCATTTGTCTTCATCTTTCCAGTAATGAAAGACTTGCAACCGGGTAGTTGCACCAGAGCCATTTAGGACCTGATCCAAAGCACATTCCTCTAAAGCATCTGGTACTGGGCAGTGTTGAAGACCAGATACCTGATCAGTCTTGATCATTGATTATTGATTTGATCTAGTGTCACAATTCCATGCTTCTAGATGCTCACCTCCCAGTACTGTATTGCAGTCCAATACCATGGTGGCCTTTGATGCCCTTCCCACCTCTTGAAACATAGCCTAAGGACTGTTCATTGCCACCTTTGGGAGAACTCGCCTCTCCTACTGAATAGATGCATTGAATTCATCCTTGTCCAGCCTTCCAGTGTCATTTTGTCCCTTCCAAAGAGAGCAGGGAAAACCTGGGCATCAGCTCTCAGGTTAGCAACAACATCAGCATTCATCATTCTGTTTCATTATAACAAACACACCAAAAAAACTATGGTTTTGAAGTGGCTTGATTAGGATTTAGAAAGACAAAAGCAGGAAGTTGCTGTCCCAATGCTACGGCTTAAGACACAGGAAATGCACCTCGGCGTTGGAATGCAGATTGTTGGAGTGGTTGGTGGGATGCTACTTTTTACTGAAAATGGTTCATTGGATACATCGTGTGAACTGAAGGAAGGAAAACGTAGCTGAAGGGTTCTCTGTGCCTCGGTACCTGAAAGCTGCGCTAGTACGTGCTCCTCCTAGCTGCTGTGTTCTGAGCCCAGAGCCCCCTTACCGCACTGGCTCCCTGTTGAACACAGGATCAAATATAAGCTTTGTCCTCCTCTTCAGCACTTCTCATCTGATTGGCCCAGGTTACCTGGGGAACAGCCTCAGCCTGCACAATCAGACCCTCCCATGTAGCTATTGTCTGCCAGGACAAAGGAACCAACCTACGGCAAGAGGAGAGTTCCTGCATGCAGGAGGCAGCTTTCTCGGAGACCAGCGCACCACGCTGGAACTTGCACCTGGCGGAGATCAGAGCAAGCACAAGTCTCGGCTCCCTCACAGCCAAGGGCCAGCTGCTCCTTCCATCAGCCATTCCAGAGACCGCTGCGGAGAGCCTGGCCCATGGGGGCTTGTGATGGTCACTCCCCAAAGCTTACAAAGGCCTGGCTCCTGTGTGCGTGGCAAGAGCACAATCGCCACAGTGCGCACTGGTGAAAACTCTGAGGCAGAGCAGAGGACCTGACTTTGGAAGACACAGAGATCGCAGGCACAATTCCAGCCCGCCACCCCTCATGAGCAGGCCCTGATGAAGGAAGGGATTTAGGGGCTGCATCCCAGGGCCCTGCAAAAAGATCTCTGGGCTGCCAGAAATGCAGCTCTTTTTGCAGGGCCCACATAGCTCAGGGCTTTGGGCTGCAGGCACTAAAGTCCCTGTGTGTTGCGCACACCTGCTTAGTGGGGTGGGGGTGCAGCACTGCCGTTCCTTCCCCTGCCCCCGCTACGCTGGAATTGAACGGAGCAGCAGCTTCCCTCACCTGTAGGCTCGGCCCCTGCAGCACCCATTGGCCAGGAATCGTAGACATTGGTTGCTGCAGCAGGTGGTGCCTGCAGGCAAGCTCAGGACAATGGGTAAAGCCACCTGCCCTCTTCCCTCCCCAACGCCTACAATACCAATAGGGAACTGCCCCAGACCTGAGCCCCTCTCATCCCCAACTCCCACCCCACTACTCCAATCTCCTGCCTGAGCTCCCTCCTACACCTTAACTCCCCCCTAGACACCGCACCCCCGCATCTACCTGCAACCCTGAGCACCCTCTCAAACCCGCACCCTTTACAGATCCTGTACCCCTGCCTCCTGTGCTGAGTCACTGCAAACACCTTAGCCCCAGCCTGGAGCCCCTTTCTGCACTCCACGTACCTCTTCCAGTCCCACCCTAGAGCCCTCACCCCCTCCTACACCCAACCCCTCTCCCACACTCTGAATCCCTCATTTCAGCTCCACAAAATCTAATAGGCCCAGGCTCCCAGAAGTGTTGATCCAGGCCTACTAATGAGCCTGATTCTCCTCTCGTTTACAGCTGCCTAGCTCCCGAGTTGCCTCCACTGAAGTCCAATATACAACCCGTGCTAACGAGCAGAGAATCAGGCCGATGACAGAACTGAGGAAGGTTATTGAACAGCACCCGACTCTTCCTTAGATCCTAGCTCGGTGCAGCCTTAGCAGAGCACAGGCATCAGAACCAGGATCTGGGCTCACCAACCTGGAACCAGTCACTTAATGCTCCCACTCCACTGCAGTCCCCACCCCACCGGGCTGGAACACAGTAAAAGCTTCTTTAATGCCAATGAACCCCAGGCCTCAGTAGGCGGGATTGAACCTGGGACCTTAGGGGCTGAATCCACGAGCCTCTGCCTCATAAGTAAAACCCAACTGAGCTGCAGCCAAGGCTGTAGAGCAGACTGCATGCTGCCTCTCACTGGTCTCAGTGTTACTCATCTCACCTCCACAAGGGCACAGTAAATACTGGCTGATCCTCAATAGCCTTTCCCAGATGAACATTGACAGGGCTGTGGAAGTGTCTTACGATGCACGGTCATTTGCAGAGGGGTGGTGCCTTCGGGAAGCCGTAACAGCAGCCTTGCAAAAATAGGGAGGCAGATTCTTGGCAGGGGCTGAGTGGCTTTACAGCCGAGGATCAGACCTACAGCGAAGAACACCTGGACGTACCAGCTTGAAAGAGGGAAGGGAGCCGATGGAAAGTGATTGGAGGGTTCCACACTGCAAGGTCCTGACTGCAGGGAGCCGTGTGCAGGATGCAGCTCTATATGCAGGACGAGGGCTAGGTGAGTCTCAGGCCGGAACACGGCCCAGGGCAGAAGGAAACAAGCACATTCGGCTTCTAGCCCTGCAATTCTCCTCTCCCGGGAGCTCACCAGCGCAACATGAATGCACAGGGCACTGCAACACCTGTGGCAAATCTATGGCTCCCCTGC